CACCAAAGGCAACAGTGTGTCGAATGTTTTTTCCCAAAGACGTGTGTGGTAAAACGGAGTGGGTGGATAATGATTCGGTGGAGCTTGAGCGTAAAGTGGGTTGTGAATATCTGAACGCATTCTCGCCGTTGCTGATGCGCGTCTTCAAATGCAATCACGATATTAAGTTCCTTACAGCTGGCGAAGGTCCTGAAAAAGCATATTACATGCTAAAGTATGCAACAAAACCCCAAAATGTATTGGAAAACCCCGTCGCGGTCTACGCTCACGCGTTTGATAAGGCAAGTAGAAAGCGCGAGATTACAGACTCAGCTGTGAACGCAGGAAAGCGATGTGTGCAGTCGATGTGCTGCACTCTATCAAAACCACAAGAGGTCTCGGCGCCTATGGCAGCCCTTTACGTTCTTCGTGAGTCCGCTTTTTACGCTTCCGCTGATTTCGTAAAGGTGGCACTCAATGCTTTTGTTGATATGTTATTTAACGAGGAGCCAATTGAGGTCATGCTCAGACCTTCAGACAACAGTACAACCTACAGGCCTCAAAGTGCAGTGTTTGACTATGTACACCGTCCACAAACGCTAGATCGGTGCAATTTAATGGAGTTTTCGAAGAACTGGACAAAGCAAAAGAACTTGACCGGTCTCCGGTTTTTACAAGAGCACGGACAATACGAAACTCATACCATACATCGAAGATTGCTGCCTGTTGTGGCGACAATTATAGGAAAGCGGCTTCCAGATGCACGTGACAATAATATGCCTGCAGAATCACGTAAAATGTTACAGCGATCCCTGCTCACGTTGTTCAAGCCATTTCGTAGACCAGCGGATTTGGCTTTGGGTGGCCGTGACTCTGCTTTTATGTTCCAGAGCTGGTGGGATAATGAAGCACCCGATAGTGCACGCCAATTTCTCGAAAACTCTAATGATTATTATACTTCCCGTGAATTAGCGCGCAAACGCTCAGATGAAAGCAAGGAGCGCTTCAGGGTCAGCGTGGGTGCTAGCGATCTTCACGACATTGAAAGCGATGACGACATTATCGACGAACCATTTAACATGGGTGAAAGGGAGACCGAAGTTGTAGATCGCTTTGAAAGCGATTGTGACAACCGTGTTGAACTCGAACCAGCAACAAAAAGTATATTGTTGCTAAAGAAAGGGCTGTTATCAGCAAATCTCGCGGCTAAGTCTTGTTTAGGAAATATCGTATACGATTTGCCAAGTCTCGATAACTCGAAATGGAGTGAGCGCATCGCGCAAGCGGAGCAAGTTTATGCGAGGGCAGATTCGACCAGTTTCTGTGGAGAAAGATTTATTTATTGCTCTGATAATCCAACTCGTGTACGAATGTTACTGAGGCAAGGCGACAATGATGAATTGGCGCCACTACCCACTGCCTATCAGCGACAAACCCTCGATGCAAACCCATCGCTTCGTGACGTATCGAGTTTTTATCAGCTCAATCGGAAACAACACAAAATGTTCACGCGAGCTGGTTCCCGTCTTCTTCAGACCATAGTATCAGACGACAGTGGTTCGGTTGACCAGATGATAGGCTTTCTGGCTGGGCTTCCCGGATCGGGCAAAAGTCGCGTTATAAAATCACTTCAAGCTCTTGCTAAAGCTTGGAACAGCCAAGATGCTCTCCAAACGGTTGCGTACCAGGGTGTTGCTGCCAAAGCTGCAAATGGGCAAACAATTCATAAACTGTTCCAATGGAATATCAACACGAATTGCTACACCAAACGATATAGCCTCGCGCAGAAAGAACTGTTTGCACCTTTAAAAATGTTAATTATGGATGAAGTATCTACCACGGACGTCAAACTCATTGGAATGATTGATCATGCCTTGCGTGAGCTGAAAAATAAACCCAACGCGGTGTTTGGTGGAATTCACGTTCTCTTCGTGGGTGACTGGCTCCAGCAGCTACCGGTCGCAGGTGTTCCGGCTTTTGTAGATCATCCTCCGCTGCCATCATCAAAATTCCAAGCACAAAGCCACAACAATGACACTACTACTTACTTATCAAGACTTCGGGGTATAGATGCGTACAAGAAAATCAATGAAGTTGTTATTCTCGATGAAAACATGAGACATCGCGGCGATCCCACGTGGGCTAACATTTTAAATCGCTGGCGTTACGGAGACTACAGCGAAGAGGATATTGAATATGTCAACAATCGATGCTACAAGAAAAACTGGGAAGGCCTATCTACGGATATGAAAGCGTTCTGTCCCATTATTGTGACTTCAAACACTCTTCGCTGTGAGTTTAACGAGGAAGCGTCGGAGATTTTCTGCCGAAGTGATCAAGCTCTGCA